TTTTGTTGACATCCCACTCGTTATGTCAGGCTGAAAGGGGTTCATAATCCATTTTTTCTCTTGGATATTTTTCATTTCTTCAAGGAAATAAAACTCAAAACTCTCTTTCAGCTTTTTCAAGTGTTCAGATATCTCAATGATTATATCGTCATCAACTTTTGCTTCATTCTCCATTACAAAGGTTTGAAATGTTTCAAAACAGTCATAATTTCGGTTGTCAATACAGTTTTTCCATAGAATAAGTTTTTTCATGAAACCTCGAATTTTCTCATGAACTGCGAATATACTGATACCTTCTGCTCCTTGCAAGTACAAATTCAGTTCGTTTAGTTTTGAAAAAATATCTGCCAAATACGTGAGTCTCAGAACAAATTCCTCGTTGCGCAAATATCTCGCAAAATCGATTTTACCTTCCAGAAATATAGCAACTTCTTCGCGGAGTTCTGTAAATCTTGTTAGCACTTTACCTCTCGAGAGCCAACGTACTTCTGTGTGCATAAGAAATGATTTATGATTGCTTCCCATTTCTTCGCACAACTTCTCAAATAAGCGCGATTGCAATGGCTTTGACTTTATTAAGTTCACTATTTTAATGGAAGTGTTCAAAACATTTTTAAAATCATCAGATATACATTTTGATACTAACGCTGCTCTGTGAAGGTTGCAGTGAGTCCATGATGCGTTTGGATTAAGTTCAAGTATTCTGGTCACCAGACCACTGTTTTTACCACACATAGCCCGTGCGCCGTCCGTACATATTCCAACATATTTATTCCAATCAAGACCTTTTGTTTTGACATAAGTATCAACAGTCTTAAAAATATCATCGCTGATACAACAACAGCCTGGCAATGAAAGCCCGAGTCTTGAACTATCTCGACAGACAGCGTTTAATCGAAGCTAATGCGTAATTCTAGTACAGTATAACTTTTTACGACCCACTAACATTCCGCTTGCGATCCACCAGTGGGTCGCGATCCATAGTTTGGGAAACGCTGTACTAGAGGAAAGATAGCTAATCAACATCACCCACCTTTGGCAGGATCGCTACATGTCAAAAGCTTAAACGACCAGAGCTAAATATAGCTTGGTAAAATACAATCGCTGGAAAAACATGACGTCATTGGCACCAATATCCATGATGCCTACAACACAATCTGCAGCTGTGAAATCTTCGACATTGCTGGATGTTAACACTTAACGTCAGGACTTCTATGTTGACAGCTGCACCATCATCACGCAAGTTATCTCAATTGCAGCCACCATCACAGAATTATAAACTACAGCTCCAAGAGAAATTCTGGAGAAGCTTGCCATTTAGCAGACGACAACAGTCAAATGCCATTGCAAAGTTCGGTAGCTACAATGCGCGGAGGCACAATCATAAAACAAATGAACATTTCCAGGACAGATCAAGTGATCTGCTGGCTCCAGATGGAATAGGTTAGATCTTCAAATCTTTGGCCTATGCAAAGGAGAACATCATGCAAACCCTCACCTCCAACAAGAAGTCCATTGTGGCCCTCAAGAATTTGCTGTTGGAACTACAATGAGTGTGAGTGATAGTTCTTTTCTTTTTTATTATAATCATATTTCTATATAAAAAGGTCTACTTGCACCCAACAGTCAACAAATGTTCAACTATACATTCGAGAATGTTTCAGTTTTACAATGTTATTATATGACATTACTTTTCTCATTGATAACCTATCCTTTATCATTTCATTAAGCAAGTGCTTTGTGTATGGAAAAATGAATGTTACTATTCTCATCAATAACTTATTAGCTATCGTTTCTTTACCAAAAATTATCACTGTGACATGAGTAAAGTGTTTTCATTATCAAAAAGTTTTATTTGTCAAATGTTATCATTGCTGTTATTGTGGTATATTTAAAGTGTTTTAATAATAAGTAGACAAACAATGATTTATAAGAATAATGAAGTGATACATTTATGATGGAACATGCTACCTATTTCGACAGAACATTAGTCTGTCTTCTTTGTTTATGAAGAAGACAGACCCATGTTCTGTAGATAGATATAGTATATTCCATCATAAATATATCACTTCATTATGATTATAAATCGTTGTTTGCCTACCTGTTATTATATTAGCATAATGCATTTATTTACTCAAATATTAAAGTGTTATATTTGCTAATTCTCATTATGAATATTTTATGTTGTTTGTTTGTTTAATTTTGCTCAAAGGTACTTCAGAGCTACCTAGCTAGCCATTACAAATTAAGAAGTGACAGACTTCATGGCAAATCTACTGCCTACTTCTGGGCTACTCTAATCAAATAGTGGGATTGACCATAACATTATAAAGTTCTTAAGACTGAAAAGGCGACGAGCATGCTCAAAGATGGGATTTGAACCCATGACCTATATATTAATATTGTTACGACAGCGGAAGTCACGTGACTCTGTTAACACGTGATGAGTATCTAGAAGATTCACGAAGAGACGAGATGTACGCTTTTAGAATATATAAGACCGACAAGAAGTGACAGTAACAATTGAATTGCAGACAGAGATAGAGACGGACAATTGAGTCAAGCGCGGTAGTAAGTAAAATGTGTGAATCGTTCGTTGTGAATTATAATGTTTGTTTGAGTTAAAGTGACTGTGGAAATTAAGTGTATTGCAAAGTTGTATTGAGAAAGAATAAACTAGTTTTATTTAAGAAAGGACTTGTATTGCTGAAGTTTTTCGGAAAGAATTTCTACGGAAAATTAATCAACGAACACAGAGACGTAACAATATTAAATGAGCACATTATTTTCGTTATTAAGGATTTTATTTGTCTTATGTTATAAGTGCTAATAATGTGGTACAATTAGAGTGTTTTCCTCACCATACATCATCATGGCTAATATTGTGATACAATTCAAGTAGTCTCACTATTAAACTGTTTATTTTGCCACGTTTGTACTTATTTATGTTAAAGAGTATTTCTGTTTAATTTAGTATTTTGTATGGCATTATAATCACTTGACTACTGTGAAACAGTATGGTGCACATTTACCTGGTATAATTATTTTTGTTAAAGACAAGACCAGCTTAGCCTGATTTCATGATAAATATAAGGTTTTAGTTTTTCTTTATTTCATTAGATTTTAAGCTAGTGATAGCCAGGACAGTCTGAAGGTCAAGAAGAGGGGAAATATGTAGTATGGAGAGTTATTTAGTATTTCTCCTATTGTTTAGTTGAGTGAGATAATCATTTGATGTTCACCTAGGACTGTGACAAAATTTCTAGCATATATGTTTCTAGATGCGTGTAGTTTATGCAGCAGAATGTTAGTTATGGAATGTGGCTAGATTGCTTTTGAAGTAGACTTATTGATGTAATTCATTCCCTTTTGGCATCACATGTGCCTTCTCATGGGAAAGATTGCTGTACAGTAGGACACACTATGTAAGGAAGTACAGTGATATCATCCATTGACAGGCCTGATGATACTTGAGAACAGGTCACTCTTTATTTTACTTTTGGAATGGCCAAATGTGATGTGGGTAGCACCTGTGTTCTGAGAGGGAAGGCATTATTGATTTCGCTCATGCAATGCTATTTTCTTTCAGTTTCAAACAAAATCTCTTCAAAAGCATATACAGATTTCAAACCTCTCTTTCCATCAGCTATAAGTATCATCTAGTGCACTTGTTTGCTTTGATTATTTAGATCTAATAAAGATTGCTTTTCACATTGTTTTACCATTTTGATCGGTCATTTTTTTCTGCTACAAACTCATTCAGAGTCAGAGAATTCAGTTTAATTTTGTTGTACATTTTCTAAGAATACCACAGTTCATTAGACAAAATCACTGGTGCTGGGTCTACCTAGATGGTTAATTTCATATCACAGAAGTAGTAGCGATAATGCTTAACAAATATTATTAATTACAACTACGAGAGTTCTTTCTTTGTTGTGCATTATCTACTCGCGGAGGTCATCATCTAGCTAATATGAAATTGCACGTTCTACCCTGTCCTCAAACTGTCATAATACCACTCCAATTCCATTATTACTGGCATCACCATCTAGGATAAATGGACCATCTATTGTTATATGTGCTAGCACTGGAGACTCGATTAAAGCATATTCAAGTGATTGGAATGCACAGTCACAGCCATCAGTCAATTTAAAACACATTTTGACTTTAATCAGAACAGATAATAATCAATTAATGCAATGATCTTGGAGAAATTCGCCACAAATGTTCAGTAACATGAAACAAAACCTACAAATAAGTGCAAATTTCTCTTTCTCTTTTGTCATGGCTTGCAATCAGTCTCGATCCACTGCAATTTTCACAGAGTTGTTAGAAACAATGGACCTTTTCACAATATGATTTAGAACTTCCACCTGTGTATGCATAAATTAACACTTCTCTGGTCTCATTTTCAAGTCTGTTTTATGTTGAATAACCATGCTAAGTCTTAAGCAGAATGAAATGTGCAACCAAACATCAAGATATCATCGAGATAGATAAGGCATCTCTTAAATTGTAGCCATTTCAGTGCAAGCATATCAGTTGCTAAACAGTGACAGGTACATTACACACAGATAAATGGGATGATACAAAATTTACACAAGCAATTCCAACTACTAAAAGCAGTTTTGGTCTGCTTTAATCGTCAAGCTTGACTTACCAGTAGCCAGGTTTAAAGTTTAGATAAAATGTATAACAATTATTTTAAAAACTGTGATTACATTTTTATTTCAGCTTTTAAAATATTACTTTATATAAATAAAAGTCAAAGAATCTTATAATAAATTTTACTGTGAACCGTCGCTACATACCCTGAGTGGCGCTTTAATTATGGTGGTGCCTTATGATTTTTTTATGTGCTCTGCGCTTTCTTTATCATGCGTATCTGAGGTGATTCTCAACGTTTGACTGAAAATTTAGTAAGAGATACGCTAACTATATAAATTGGGCAAAAATATACTTATGTGTGAAAGAGCATTGTCATTAAAGTAAATTATCAGTTTTTTGTTACTATCAAATGGCATTAACGAAACTAAAAGACTAAGTTTAGAACTAAAAGTAAAAGCAGCTTTAAATTTTAATTTTATATTAGAATAAAAGTTATTTTGAAGTGACTCTGACAGTTGGTTTTAGATCATCCGATGTAAATTCTTTTAATTTCGTCCAGGTTACTGCAGTGCAGTGCAACTGCATGTAAATATGCAATTTAATTTATTTGTTCTTTGATCAAGACATTATGTAATTGTTACGTAATTTAACACAGTTCAGTATTATATACCTTTTTAGAGGTTATAATACTAATACAAACATAGAAAATTAAAACATATAAGAATTTTAATATCAATATCATTATTATCAAACTATATGATTATGAGGCCTATAATTTAGAAACTACAATTTAAACTTAAAGGAAGTATTATAATAATCATTAATATTGCTTCCTGCCTGTGTACTGTGTCAGGAGTAACAGTAACAGCATTATATCAGGTAATTTAACTAATTTGTTCATAATGATAAAGTAATATTCTTGCAAATTCCATGTATCCATTACTCGTAGTTTTATTAACCAATGTTTTACACGTATATATATATATATATATATATATTATGGTTTATTACCAAAACCAATTAAAACAGCACCCAAAGATTAAACTTGGTGTTAATGACTGTTAATGTTATGACCTATCTGAATCTTAACCTACATTTTATAGCCCTTGGGTCTTTTATGAAAGTTGTATTGGTTCATATGTTCTACTATTTTAAGTATTTATGTTTATAAGAAAACAACATACCCCAGCAATATACTAATATAACAATGGAAAATAATCTTCTGAAGTGTTAAACTAGTACAATAAATGGCCAGTAATGCATAAGCACTGCACACGTTCCTGCAGTTAAAGATTAATAGAATCACTGATTAAATGTCTCTTTCTAAACTTTGATTGAAGATATATTAAATAAACCATTACTCATACTTAGCCTCTTTGCATACATATGTATATGTATTATCATAAGCCTCATCTTGTACAGTTCTTCATCGATATCATTTCATCCAAATTTATCAAAACTGTTATTTCATTTTCAACAAACTGAATTCCTTTAATATAAATATAATCCATTATAATTGCTTTTTTTCATGTTCTTTATTTAATCAACTCGGAAGAATACAAGATTGTCATATATTGTATTATAAAAACTTTTTCTATATAAAATACTACTTAGGTTTGTCTTTAGATTAGGTATAATAATGACTTAAAATGTAGACAAGGGTTATTTGATGAATACAACTTATAAAACAAAATATTAGTGTTTGTGAAGTTCACAGAGAAGGCAAAATGGTACTACAATAGGTTTCCAAATATGTTTAATGATAAGGTATACACATGTGTAATGTTTGGAATTCTGGAATGATTTCCTTGATAGGAAAAAAGCAAAAGTATCGAGTAAACTATTTTAAGCTCTGCGATAGCTATAAAAGTTAAGCCTCATTTGGAGTATTGTGTGTAGTTTTGGTCCCCTTATCTTTGGAGGAACATTGAGTTGTTGGAGAGGATTCAGAGGATGACTCTTAGGATGATTCCATAGGATGGTCCATTGCCATGGAAAGATGGGTTGAGATTTTTTAACTTAATCTCTCTTGAAGAGAAAAGGATTTGAGGTGGTCTTGTTGAAGTATTCAAAATTATTAAGGGACTTGATAAGACTGAGGTATAAGATTTTAGTGTGTTGAATTCTGAGGAAAGTAGGACAAGAGGTCATATATTTAACATTTGAAAAAGTCAGCCTTATTTCTACTTGCAGCTCTTATTTTTCTAGTAGGACAGTAAATATGATGGAACAAAGTACCATCGCAAGTGGTAGAGGCTGCAGCTTTACAGGATTTAAGTAAAAGTTTTGATGAATATTTGAGGGATCATGGCTATATTTAATAATTAATTTTCTGTTTGTTGAATGGGGGAAGATGGGCCAATAGGGCTAAAATTGTATTGGCAATGTCAAAGATCTTTTGTCATCTGGTCAGTAGAATCAGTTGTATTTGAATATGTGCACGGAAAAGCTAATTTCCTAAGAGAATTTCACTGTAACAGTGTTCAATGAAACATAATAGTTTGATTGATATGATAAAGGCCTTTGATTTCTTTGTATTGTATTCTGAAGACAAGAGGACACAGTTTCCAGTTTGGAAAAGATAGGCTAGGCTCTAATTAAGACATCTTTATTTTTCTAACTGGGTGATTGGCTTATGGAATGACTTGCTAATGGCAGAAGTGGAGGCCAGTATGTTATGAGAATTTGAAAGGGGAATCACTAACTCTCTGAAAAATAAAGTATGAGTTTAAGTTTTCAGTGACAGCCTTAAAGGACCAAATGGTACTTTATGGTTCCTATGCTATTCTAACAGGAAATATATATATATATATATATTTTTTGCTTTTGGAAATTGCTTGATTACCATTATTCTTGAGTTGAATATAAAAAGCCTGAAGTGTGCAAACATTAAAGATTAAGTAAACAGCAGAAAGTATAGCCTTTTGTAAGAAGTTTGAATCTTATTTATTTAATTTTATGCAAACTATTTAGTTAAATAAAAGAGCTTTAAAAATACTGACTTTATACTGTATGATTAAGACACTCTCAACAGTTCTGACTAGAAATAGAATATTGTGTGTATTGCATACTTATTATTTTATTTTATATATTTAGCTTCATTGCTCTGTTTGACTGACTTAATTATGATTAAGAAGAAATTATTTGTTTTGTAATTTCTTAATGATTATAATCATTATACATAACATGTATTTAGTGTAATCCTAGAGAATGTTTCAATTACATTTCATTAAAACATTTTCAACAGCATTGTCACATGGAAATTTGGAAATCAAAAACTGCAGTTTTAAAAACTAATCTGCATTTTCAGAGTTTCTTTATTGGTAACTTGCTGATTGCTGACTGTTATTTCAACCTCTAAAGTTAAGAGGTTTTACAAAGCTCAGAAATAATTTCATTTTCTTCAAATAATAAAATTAACTTTTTTGTTTTAAGATTATTTTAGGTATTTGTTTATATAAGTTGCATCTTTTTGCATGAATAACTGTCAAAATTAAGTTGAACAACAAATTTAAAAGCTACTCATTTAATAAATTTTTATTTAAAGATTAATTTGATTAATCTGTACATCTATTATATTTAGTTAAGAAATAGAGCTCAAAAAATAATTTAGCACCAAGAGAAGTAAAAAACAAACCATTCTCATTTTATGAAGCATGGAGGAGTATCATATAATTATTATATTTTTTGTTTTTACAACCATGACTCTTAATTTTCACTTTTATTTTGATGAAACTACTCCATACTGTTGTAGGTATTCAGGTGCATTTTGCTTTAAGTTTAATACTTTTATGCTCTTCCTTGAGGTTTCCTCTATATATATATATATATATATATATTGTTCATAAACAAAAATTTAAAAAGCAGGTTATTCAGTTTTTAGTCTAAAAAACTATGTAACATATTGTTTATAGATCTAGTAGTAATGAGAGAAATTTTGATTACCTAATTAAAACTTTCAATAATGTAAGATGATCTGGAGAGTAAAGCTGGTAACACATTTAAATGTACATGTATGTCTGTCTGTCTCTGTCTGAAGAGTTTTTATACACTGACAATGTTTGGGTTGATATACAACATGTACAGTAATTAGTATCAAGTAACTATCCATTAAGCATAAAGCTAGAATAGACTAAACAAGTGTACTTGTAACTTTATTGGATATATGTGTTAATTCATCATAGGCTTGAAAATAACTTTAGAATGTGTTGAATGTTTAATTTCTTTCTTTTTTGTTTTTCTAACTGATGTTGATTATTTTTAATTTGTCTGCATGTGTTATCTTTATATATTTTTTCTTGAATGATAAGCATTTCTTATTATTCATTAAGCTGAAAATATATTTTTTTAATTATTTAGATATATAATTCATCTAGTGTTTTTCTTTTAAGTTTTATAGTATGTAATCTTCAATTATTTTTTGCCTTTGTCATCAGCTTGTTAAATTTTTATTCAATTGGTTGATGTTATCTTGGCTATATGTACATAAATCTTTCCCTAATTAGTGTATGTGTAGTATGTAGCCATGTGTTGACCATTTGTGGGCTTTCTGTATGAGTGGGTGTATTTTTATGTTTATTTTGTTGCTATTTTGGTTTTGTTGAAAGATTTGACATGGAGCAAGAGGAAATGCAGATTAACTGTTGAACTAGCAATGCACCAATGGCTAGCCTGGTGGGGAGTGTTGGAATCCCTCCACAACCCAGTACTGGCTTCTTGCGAAAATGTGCAAAGGAGCAGGAAAAATTACGCACCAAACTTGAGAGGAAGTTGCAGAATGACATGCTTAAGTAAGTAAATTGTTCAGCAAATGATTTCAAAATTTGTTGTTTTTGATGATTAGTTTTTATATATATAGCTGAAGAACAAAGAATACATGTATGGTAGTTTGAATTATAGGGATGTTTAGTTAAGTGTAATAAAGCAACAGAATGTTTTTGATTTTTTAAAGTTTTTTTTATAAATAGTTGATTCATTGTTTGTTCAAAACTTTTTTTATAATCAGTAAACCATTTTTTTCCTATTTTTTTTGCAAGATACTGATGCTTAACAACTTGTATGTAGCTGGGAGAAGTTCATTAAGCAGTAAATATAGATTTATATTAAGCAACGGAAGTTTCGATCACTCATTTTGTAACATGTTAAGGGTAAATAATCTCCGTATATTAAAATATGTTTACTGTTCTATGTAATCTATATTATAGCCATTTTTCTTCATTTTGTATCATGTTAAATGTTATTAACATACAACTTGTTTAAGATTAGTAGTATCTAACAATAAGAAAGTGATTTATCTACTTCAAGGTTTAATGTGTGCATAATAATTTTCAAGATTTTAATATTTGTTTCACCCTTACATAGAGAATATATAGCTCATCAGACTCTATTATATTGAGATATCCCACTCAGTTATAAATGTTTTGCCGAAATATTAACAAATGTTACACTATAAACAAAAATGGATTATTGATGTTATTAGCAATAGTTAGTATAATTATAACTATAAAGTTTTTATACTGAAAATATTTTTACAGTACAGTGATCTTATTTAAGTTTTGAAACTTAATCAGGGGATAAATAGTATAAAGGCCTCTGACAGTCTTTGTACTATATTATAAACCAAATAGGAAGAGAGTATACAAAAGTTGAAGATGTGGAAAAGACTTCAGCTTCATTTTAATTTACAGGAGGAGTTGCTCTCAATGTTAGTGGAGTGTAAGATGATTTCCTGAAAAATATAGGGTGGGTTTAAATTATTACTTTTCCCAAGGGTGGATGTGTAAGGACAGTTTTGAAGGACTAGATGGTCCCTTTTTGTCTGTATTTTATGTTAACAATTTGTTATTTTTTTACAGGTTGTTAGATGAAGGATCATTCTCTGATATCGTTATCAAGTCATCAGTTTTACAAACACCTTTATCAGTTAAAGCTCACGAGGGCATACTAAGAGTTCGGGTGCCGACATTTTACACTGAACTTTGCCATAATCAAAAGAATAGAAATGATATCTATGATTCTAATCTGGATAATGTGGAATTATTGTGTTTTTTAAGGTGATTATCCATTTTGTTTTCTTAATAAGAACTATTGTATTCAAAGCCTTTTATTCCATATCATCATGTATTTAAATTGATTGTGAAATATTTTAGCCATAAACAGATAGTTATTAACATATAGAAATCATTTTCTTTGTGTATGTAGTTTTATTTTTAATTAAACAAATGCAAAAAACATTGTATTCTAACAGTTCCTCTTGATTACATCGATGTACTGTCAGATGTTTTATGAATGCCTTATTTCTTGATATAAAAAATCCACTCAAATCTTGAGAATATTCTTGAGGGAAAAAACTAATTTTTTTTTTCCAAGAATATTTCTGTGAGTGTTTTAATTACTCCAAAATAGAAGGTAATATTAAAACTTGTGATGATAATATTTCCTTGGTTGTTTTTGTTTATAAGGAAGTAGATCAGAAATGTTTAGAACATAATTAGAAAGTATGTCTGTAATATAAAGAAATAAACAATTTCTTTCATTTACACGTAACATCGAGAATTATGTATTATTGACATACTTTGTTCATCCTTTCATTTCAAGTTCTAGTATATTATCCATTTTGAAATAAATTACTTCACATTTTTTTGTTGTTGTTTAGATTCACTTTTTCATTACTTCTGTAGTTTTACAAAAAAATAATAAATACAAAAGTATAACTTGAGGAATTTCAGCCATACATTGAGTAGAAATTTTCTTTAAAATTTATATACATTGTATTTCTTCAACTGCTATGAAGTAAGTCCTTTTGTGGGGTGACCGTGACCTAGTGGTTAGCATTCTCAGACTTATAAGAGTGACAGCCAAATCCTATTGTTCAGTCAGATAAGAATAGTCCAAGAGTTGATGGTGGGTTCCATCTCTATAGTTTATTAGTTCAAAATTAGAGAATGAGTCTGCACAGATAAGTCTTATATAGGTTTGCATGAATTCCAAAACAAATAACTCCTATTAAGGTTTTCCTTTTCTATCCAAGTTAATATAGAGGATAATTCAAAAGTTACTTTCCTTGGAGCAATATAGTAATGCTTTTTAGATTTAATCTATATTGGATAAATGTAAGAGTATTGGTGTATAATAATTATGGTGTACAAACTTATAAACAATAAATAAGTCTTAGTAAAGCAAACCAAATATTATCTACACAAGATTTAAGTGTGATGCAACTAGAAGTGGATGATTAATTTAATTAATTGATATAGTTGGTTATGTATGAATACTGATTACATCAATTAGTGTAATGTAAATTTATCGTAAAATAATCGATTAATTGAAATTATCAATTATCAATTAATGTCGTGAAAATAATCAACTGATCAGAATTAGTGTTTACCATTGTTACTTTTTTTAATATTATTCCAACCAAGTAATAGAAATATTGCCATTATGATTTCTCATTATTATTTTTTATTAATTCCAGGTTGTTCAGTTTAATCAGTAAGTGTTATGACTCATGAAAATAATAAGATAATCAAAATTAGTGTTTACGATTATTACTTTTCCGACTATACAAGTCTTATGTGAGAATAATCAGTTAGAAAATTCCACTAATTGCCCAGCTCAAGATGCAACTAACTGTTAAATCACCCTATAAAGCAATCTTGCCATTATAGTCCAGATTATCTTTTACTGATCAATAAAAATGTCAAAACCAGAGATAAGGTTTCAACTTTATTGAATGTATGTAAAATGAAAAATAAGGTATCAAATAGTCTGCAGATTTTAAAACCTGAAGACATTTTGTTAATAAAACAAAAACAATTTGAAAGTGAACAGGCTTGAAAGTAATCCAAAATAGATTGTTAGATAAGTATGCCAATGAAAAAACAACAACATCACATTTAGTTGACATGTCCATTTCATATGAGCTTCTTGTTTGTTTAATTTTAAAAAAATATTTGTTTTGTGGACACAGTTTCTTCAGATTTAAAAATAACAATGACATTTTTTTCAGATATTGGAAAAAGTCTCTTTGATAGAGTGGTAAACATTTGGTTGTGTTTTCTTTATTTTAACATAAGGAAAGATTATTATGCTAGTTAAATATTTCATCAACTTAATAACACTGGATTTTAATACTTTTATTTTCAGTGGTTTTTTCACTGTCCCTCTTTGGCCAGGTCAGTTGTTGTTTCTCCTCCTTAACCTTTTTGCAATCCCAGATCCTCTGTTGTTTCCATCTTGGAGCTTGGAGGTCCCTTTTTACATCAGCCTCAGATGTCCATCTTTCTCTGTGATATTCTATACCTTCATTTTAACATGTGGCTTTTGTCCAGCTCCATGTTAGATGGGAAGGTTTTCTTGCAGAGTAACCCATTTTCTTGTTCACTCTTTCCACCATCCATTCTTGCAATTTAACACCACAAGTGGTTGGTTTATTAATGATGGTCCATTCAACACCCCCTTTTTCTACCTTGACCTGTTGGGTTAAACAGTTCATCTGGCTTTTCTAATCCTCCATGGGAGAATACTCCTTTCATCATCTTCATATCACCTCCCATCAAGTTTGTCATCTCATAGCTTCTCTTGTCGCTGGGTATTGACATCCCCTGGATCAGATATTGCAGGCAGGAATGTGAACAGCTCCAGTGCTTTTGTGTCACATTGCTTACACCATAGTTATGTTTCTTTTGCTTCTCAGTTTCATCTTCATTCAATCACCATTCTCTAGTCATCCCAGAGACTGTAAAGAGGTGATGTGTTGATTATTTCTCTTGCAGCTTTCACACACAAAAAGCTATAACTCAGAATACAAATATGTATGTGTGCATACACACACACACACACACACACACTGGAGTTAATGGAACCCACAAAATACCTTCACCTGGTCACTTCTTGCTATCCATATTTGCAGTAACCCATTGCAAAATCTCTCAGTGTAGGACATTATGTAGGTGGTAGATTATTCCTCCTTGGTCCATGCAACTCTTTGGTGTTCTTCCCTGTGCAAATTCCTCCTTCCAATTTTCTTCTATTGAATTGGAAGAGCCATTGCTTCTTCAGTATCAAGTTGCTAGGGGGGTTGATGTGGAGAGTACCATTTGGGTCAGTGTAATTCCACTGGTATGAGATCAAGTGGATTTATTCCTCAATTGGAAGTAGAGCAGGAGTGTTTACATGGAAGTAGAGTACAAGCCACCAATTTACATTAAGAAGTGGGCCATTCCTGGTGGTTCTACTTGGGATGCAGGTCTGAGACAATTCATCATTACAGTTTGACTTATTACCCTGGCCACACTACACATATTTGACCCTTTGAGACATAAAAGCTGGTTGAGCAGCCTTTACATTCTTCCCACCTTTGCGACACTTTAGCACCATGCAAGAGGTTCTTTTGACAGTGTTTTTTTCTGCACTATGACTTGTGTTGGTTGAAGAATTTTCCCTGCTTGAAATCATATGATGCCTCACTAGGTCCCTTCCCCACTAGTGGGCAAATATTCCAGGAGTTTCATTTTCAGTCTCTATATTCTCAAATAGGAGCTCATCCTTTTAATTTCTTAAACCAGTCTTTCCATCATTTCCTCAGTGTGGGATTCTAGCTATCTGTTCCGTGGAGAGGTGAGTATCATTTTTTCTTAAGTTAGCATTATGCTACCTGTTAATATATTTAAGAGATATTCTCACCTCCTCATAGAACTGCCCACTCTTCTTGTGTGTCTCTTTTGCCTCATCAAGAATGAACTCTTGGTATAAAGAAAGTGCTCAAAGGGAGCACTATGTATGGAGATGTGTCACCTTCCATCAATGGATTGGCACAGTACATGTTATTATGTGTAGAGGTGGGAGTTTCATTCAAATGCTTGGCACGTGCAAAAAATTTTGGCAGCAGCACGAGATATTAGAGCTGCCTGTTCTGTGAAGAGGTGAGTATCTATGTGAACAAAAATAACCACAGCTTTTCTGAATGGAAATCACAGTACTAAAACATGAACCTGACATTAACTGAGGAAAAATTAGAGAAGCCTTATTAATAAAATCAAACAATCCAACAATTAACAAATACCTAGGCACATCTATATATGGCTTTGATCATTATTACCCCAGACATTCTTAATCTTGTGCAAATGTTTCATATAAGATATTCTAAATTTTCATATTTATTTACTTTTTGTTTATTTTATTCTGTTCATCCATAAATGAAAAATCTGTCAATTCACGCACATTAATATGTGCATGTATAAGTAACCACTATCAATTCTAAAATTTATATACATTGTTAGATTGTTAAATGTTGATTTACTGTTAAAACTTGTGTACTTGAGAATGATCGCACAAGGGATCGAAATGTCGAACCTGTTCTAAAAAAATAAACTTCCTTACTATAAAAGCTGTAACTTGTAAAAAAAAATAAAATAAAGATTTACTTTAATAGGTCATATAGACATTCCTGGACAATGTTTTGTATTTGTAATCACTATCTGAATTATGGGTGGCATTAAGCTCCATCATAATCGCAATATCAATAATGAACAGCAAGTAAAATTATTTTTAGTGCAGTGAGGTAACCAAATTATGTTTGCACTTTTTTCGTACATTTAAAAGCTTTTTTTGAATTATTATTGTGCATAATGCATATTTGTTTTGTATTTATAGTGCAACTTTTCAAATTTAAACTGCTAAAAGTTTTTCACTCAATCATTCAGTATTGGCTGCTTTGCTATAATCACATCCCTGTGTCTCGGGTTTTGATTTATGATTGCTTCTTTTTCTTCCTTTGTTGTTACATGTTAAGTAATAAAGAAAAATGGATTATGACTCGCATTTATCAGTATATTAAACGACAAACTGAAGCAGTTAACTGGAAATTTTAATGAAATTATCAAATTTCTTTTACCTTTCTTGATATCTCCTGTTAGGGTCAGCAGTAAGTTTATGGATGACTTCTAATACTAAAATCCAAGGCTTGATTCCATGTGATGGAAAGATTGCATATAGCTCATTGTGCTATAACAAATAAACAAAACCTTTCTTGATCATTCAGTTTTTTTTTTCCAAGATAGAACTAGATGTACTGTAGAGTTCAGAACAAAATAATTCCAGGCTAGCATTAGTCACAACAAATCAAAACCTTTTATATTAAATGGTTTAGAGCATGCAAATTTCTGTTCTGTTACTGTTTTCCTGACAATACTTAATGACATATTATTAACATAGTCTATTCACCACACTTATTATTCCTTCCATATATTTATCTAGAGTGCAAAGCTTGTCATGTATTCACATCACAGAATTAAATTTTCTGTGGAGGTGATCTAAATTTAAGAAGTAATTTTTCTTTCTAATTTGTTTTTGTATACCAATTTTGTTTACTGAGGTTTATTTAATAGTTTTTTTTAAGGAATTGCCTCTTGATTAGTGTCATATTTTATGTATTAATCATAGGGTTTTTGGTTTTATTTTTAAAGAAAATTGTGTTACTGTAAACTGAGAGTAGGTAGTTGGGACAGTGATGAACAGAGCCTCTGTATAAGAGAGCTTGTTCATACGTACATTGAGATTTAAGGCTAACAAAGTATAATTTTGTTATTACTGTAAGCTGGTTTTTGACTTGTAAGATTAGTAGTGGGTTTCATAAATTGAAAAAAAAAATCACATGCAAACACACACATACACAAGTAAATACAGCTTATTTTGTAGGTCTAGGTAACTGATGTATTTTTTCACCAATATTTGTGTAAATTAATACTAATTTTAATTTTGAATCATGAATAAACTTAGAAACAAAACCAACTTTATATTATGCTTTAAAAAACAAACAAACCACAACTTAAATCTGTTCTGACCTAATGACCTGGAATTGTATGTAATCTGTAGTATTTTATTTAAAAAAGTTCATGGACTGGAACTAAAAAAATTAAAAATATTGGACACTGTATTCAATTCTGTTTTCATTGTCATATCTTATATTATTTGATATCTTCATTATTCAACAGAAGTCCCAGTAGGAGTTTAAGGACACCAGTCACAACTATATCTTAGTAACCCTTCTTTTAACTCTTTCAGACAATTCAGTGTTCACTTTAAGGTAAGGAGCCAAAGACTGAACATACTACTCTAATTGAGGCCTAACCTGTGACCTATACAGTGAAATGATAACCTTTATAAACATTGTATTCAGTATTTCTGTAAACACGTTAAAAAATTATATTGTATCTATGATGGATTTTGAGGTAACATGGTATATCCCTTTTTCATGTTGTATTTTTTATGATGTCATTTCATTATATAATCTTATTCTTACAGTCATCTTTAATTCAATACAAGTTTTAAATAAAGTGTATTGAAAGGTTGGGATAAGAGTTGAGATTTCTGTTCTAGAGTAGTGTAGTACAATAATTATTATAAATACTTTACAAAACCTCTAATTTATTCTATGATTTTATGTGTGAAGGAAGGTTTACTCAGAAGATGACATCAGAAGATATGAATGTGAGGCTGTTTGGTTGAGCAAGAAGTCTTCAGAAGCTGAGAAGTTGAGTAGTGTTGTTTCTCCAATGCAACAGACATTTTCTACGTCTAAAGTTGATGAACAAGACAATGTTGTAGTTTCTAGTGGCTACTTATCATCAAATGGTGATATTTATATAACACCTACATGTAGTCCACTGTCTCCAGAGAAAAAAGCCATTTGTGTGCCTGAAGAAGTTCTCAAAACGACAGTCACTCAACAGGAATCAAAGAGAGATGTACACAGTGTGACTTCACTTCATGAATTACACCTAGTCATGGAAACCAAAGATAATGAGAAGCTAGTCAAAGAATGTAATATTTTAAATGATGACAGTTGCACTGCTTGGAGAATCAACGTACCTGAGCAAGAAAGTAGGAAAGAGTTAAACTCAGCTGGAGCACCTTCTCAAGATCCGTTTACTTCAAAGGGATTGTCTTCTGAGGTATGTTTAGAGGCAAGCATTGAAAGCTCCGTACTGTCCTCTGGCCACGTTGAATCTTCTGTAGATAACTTACAAGATAGACAGTACATTCCTCAAATTAGAAATTACAGTATACCCAGAAGTGACACTTTTGAACTCAAAAGTTCTTCTCAACAACAAAACTCAACTGAATCTCTGATAGAAAAAGAAGATGACATCATAGCTCCTCTGTCTGACAGCTTAGACACAAAACTAAAAACGGAGCAGAAAAAGGAGTCCTTTTTCCTTCATGAGCAGACAAGTATCTTGACAGATAGAGTTGAAATAAATGAACCTAGTGTAGTAACTACTCATGCACGAACTTTTTCAGGTCATCATGTTGATGGAGGCATGACAGACTCTGGTTTTATGTCTCAAACCCAGTCTTTGATGTCTGATACAGACATGCATTCTTCCCTAATATCATCAGTGATGACGTGTACATGCATGAAACCTTCCCATAATGAAAAAGTAATTGAGAATATATCTGAAAACAAACCATTGTCTTCTTCAGTATGTTCAGGATCACTGTTTCCAATGTATATTGACATGAAAAGTGTTGTTCCACAGGAAAGTGTTACAGGTAAAACACAGAAGCATCAGAAACAGCAAGGTGTATACATGTACATAGATGCTACTCCTACTGGTGTTGATGATACACAAGAAGATTCCTCCCAAGAGTTCCAGAAGACTTCAAATGTAGCTGCAATTAAAAGACAAAATGTAATAAGTCAAGAAAAAGCTAATGGAAAAAGTTCACGGTCTGAAAAGGTTAACTCGTGTTACATGTATGTAGACCTTGATTCAATTACTTCAGAAGATGCTGAGAAATTACAAGAAACTCAACAGAAAAACAAAGAAAAGAAGAATCCGATGTCAGTATCCATGTTTGTTGAAATAAATGGAGAAATGAATGATAGTGTGAGAGCTGCACAGGAAATGTACAGTAGTCTTATTGACCAAAACACTGGAAAGTTGGAAGAAGGTGGACTTCTCAATGAAGCTGTCTCAGTGCCTCAAGAATCACTGTCTGGAAAGGTTCACCAACAAGAAAAACAAATACAGTTAAGTCCAATAAAGCACCAGGAACCTGTACCGTCAACATATTTACAGTCAGAAAAGAAAGAAGAAATTACAAGTGAATCTGAGACACAACACGAAGAACCTGATGCTTTTGTCAAGATTGTAAACACATATCAGACATACTTATTACCAATGAGCCCAATAATGAAACGTAAGGAAGTAAAACAAGAGACAGTGAGTTCATCACCTGATCATATAGTTGTCAAACCTTCAATAAAACCACAGGATGTCACTGCTTTAGCTTTTCCTGTGAGTGGTCCTGTACTGGCTTCAAGATCTCCCAGCAGGGACTCTTTGGAAGAAACCTGTGGACAAAAAATTGAACAGAGTGACACAAAAGAATATAGTTGTGAAGGTGATAAGAATCAATTGAAAATTGTTGAAACTAAGAAAATCCAACAAAAAGCTGAGATTAAGCATGAAAAAAAGAAATCATTTAAAGAAGATTCCTACATAGATACTGAAATTTTTGAGACAAAATATTCAAGCTTGAAAGATTTAACTAAAGCAACAAGTCAGTTTGCAGATGATGGTAATTCAGAGCAACAACTTACAAGTGCTGTACTACCCTTACATCAGAACCAAAAAAACTTAATATGTACAAATGAAGTATTATTGAGAAGCCCTGCTGAAGAGCTAGTCATTGCTGGTACAAAGCATGATGACACAGGTATTTCTGGGCAAGAAGTAGTGAAACTTGTATCTGCAAATGAGCAGTCACTTATGGTACCAGGTTTGCAGTTACCTTCTGTTGAAGAGGTAAGAAATGCAAATAATTTTGAAACTAAAGAAAACTTTAAAGGATCAGCTGAAGCTATTACAGATCTTACTTCAGAAAATGAACAAGTGTCAAATAAAGTTCTAAAAGAATCAGTAACTTTACCTTTGAAATCTTCAGATGGTGCTTTAGATACACCCACAAAATCTTTAACATCCAGATCTTCAAATGAATCAGTAAATGTAGATTCTCAAATTTCACTAGAAGCATTGGATCCACGAACAAAATCTTCAGGTTCAAAAATTGCTGAGGAAATGATAAAGTCTGCAGTAAACTGTGTAGTTTCTGGAATCCCAGATAAACGTGAAAGTTGGCCTAAAACATCATCAGAATCAAGAACTTTGCAGGAACATGTAAATGCTGAGAAACAGTCTGATTCTATTGAGAAGCCACATTTGGTAAACCAAAATTCTGATCACCAAAGGGAATCTATTCAAACCACTGTTGACAATTTGGAAAAAAGTCTGCTCTATTCTCCTCCTCCTCGGCCATCAGTCTGTGATGTTGAAGATGATTCTGAGACTATTTACTCAGAAGTGTCTGATGTAAGTTCATCTATTTTAGGACCAATTAGTTTCCACACATTATTAGACAGAAATTATCCCCAAGACAGACACAGCTCAGAAACAGAAGGATTAACTAGTTATAAAGGCTATGATGCTTGTTCTAAACTGGGTGAAGACTTACTCCGAATGTTCTTGGAAGAAATAAACTCCGATGTTGTTATCAGAGTAGGAGATAAAGATATTAGGGCCCACAAGTAAGTAACTTTGCCTATATTAAATATATATTTATATGTATAAAGAAGGTATTTACACGTACAAGTTCTTTCAGTAGTGTATGTAACATCTACAATGGAAATGTTTAAAAATTGTTTTGGCAAGTGCCTATTTATTGAAAATATGTGAGTTAACTATAATTCTGTCAAAATTTGAATTGTACCTGGCATAAAATCATTAGTTTTGTGCAGTTAATATGCACCAAATGAATTTGAATATAAAAATTTGTATATGGACACTGATATACTTGAGAGTTTGCCTACAAAATTAGCAGAATTAAGAATTTTGCAGGAATTTGATTTTGTTGAGAAGGCACATTTGAAATGCCAAAATTTAGTGTAGGCAATAAATATATTTGTTTGTGTTCTGTGATGGAAGTTTGAGTTATGAACGATTCGGCCCAAATCAGCAAGACAGACTATCAATCTCCTATGTAGAGGTTTTTGAAAAGTTTTCAGTTATTTTAATATTACAATCACCAGGTTTAAGGTGTGAAGACAACATTGATCATTTGGAGCAAAATGTTATAGACAAATTTTCATGACTGATTTACAGGCCTCCTAGTGAACTGTAAAACCTATTTTTTAGAAGCTTAACCTTTAAAACTAGTATACTTGCCTAAAGAGCTTGCAATAGCTTTTAACAACCTGTTTTTAATACTTCATTCTGTAAAAAGATTATTTTTTACAAGAAAATAATTTGATGCTCTTCAGTAAAAATGTTAAATTCAGTCTTCAGCTGTAGTCGTCATAATGTGCATTGAAGCAGACATTAATTGTGGCTAGTGACACATGAATGTTCTCAAGTTACAAGGTTATTCTTATTTGTTTGGTAGAAGATGGGAAACTCTATTTGAAATATACGTATATATATATTTAGTTCTATAGGACTTGACTAGTTATAATATAGTAGATTAGCGAGAGAAACTATGCTAAAAATGGTTTGTATTTCAGCCAATTTTGGCCTGTAATTTGGCAGATTTAGTTTATTTCAAAGGTTGGTAGCAGTAGACTTTGCTAGGAGGCTTACTGTTATAGCAGATTTTGTACCATCATGCACGAGTGAGCCCAAACTTATTTAGTACTGTCCTCTGCATTATAGCATCAAACTTATTGTTAACTATTTTAACATTTTCATACATGCAGAGGTGTAGTGGAAGGAAAAAGGATGGGCATGGCATACCTGTATTTTTTTTAGCCGCAATGTCATACCACCATTATTTTGAACGAATCCCACCTTAGCCAGTTATGCAGTATATTTTGTATTCTGACTTTTCTTTATTTAACACTACACCACTGCACAAATGCCATAAGAATCTAGCATAACAAATAACCTTTTGTGATACACCTGTACCTTATATAAGGTGTTTTAAAAATCAAAGTAATCAACATCCAGAGTTGCCATTTATCTGAAAAAAAGGAGCCACCTTATCATAGTACAAACTAGTCAGTGAAGTTCTAAAAAAAAAACCTTCCTAAAACTGTTCTGAGTGTTTGTGGAATTCCACTTTTTAAGATATACTTGCAAGTGATTCATAATAAGTTCTAACACATTTCTAACAATACAAGTCATATTTATAGGCCTGTTGTGTCTATGTTCCTTTGCCAACCCTTTATTTCTGTAGATAGCCACCACACCATCAGTTTTCCAAACATGAAGAATTTCACCATTAACCAGTGGTAACTGAAAATAACTTACCAAACCACAACACACTCTTTACTGAATTTATCTATCTAGATTATATCTAATCATGGCCAACCTTATGAGATTTACAGCATTTAATCCTTTATTTACCATAAGGGTGTACTTGGTATGTACAGTGTTTATATTCCTGGAGATCATATATGGATGTACTTGGTATGTACAGTGTTTATATTCCTGGAGATCATATATGGATGTACTTGGGATGTACAGTTCCATATATGATCTCCAGGAATATAAACTGTACTTGGTATGTACATATATCTATTCCTGGAGATCATATATGGATGTACTTGGGATGTACAATATATCTATTCCTGGAGATCATATATGGATGTACTTGGGATGTACAATGTTTATATTCCTGGAGATATATGGGTGTACTTGGTATGTACAATGTTTATATTCCTGGAGATTATATATGGATGTACTTGGGATGTACAATGTTTATATTCCTGGAGATTATATATGGATGTACTTGGGATGTACAATGTTTATATTCCTGGAGATATATGGGTATACTTAGTATGCCTGCTATATTTTATTCATAGGGATCATATGGGCTTACCTGGTGTAAACATATGAGGTACACAGTTTGATCTGTCCTTGTCCTGTGATATATGCCACTTGTACAGTTACGTTTTCATTCACCAAGGGACAACATGAGCTGGAATGTATTATATGTCTGCGATCATTGTGATTGTGGCATTTTGTTGAGGTGATAATTTATCCTTTTTCACCTGTGTGGCATGAAACGGAATTGTTTGCAAAAGAAAAATTTTGATAAATGAATAGATGTTGATGCAAAGCAGAACAAGCAATGGAACTTTCGTCCTTACCACTATATATGATGATGACAGTGATGAAATAGGAAACAAAAGCTTGGGTGAATCCAGTGAATTACTGTTGGAAGATGATTTTTAAGAAATCCAAAGTAAGAACGATACTGCAATCATCGTGCGATGCGACAACAATTATGCCTCTGATGGCTATGGAACCTATTTGTACCTGTAAACCTTCAATAAAATATACAATAAATCAATCAATTATAAAGTTTTTGATATTTTGCCAAATCTCCATAGGTCTTGAAAATTCAAAATGCCTGACTACAAAAGGGTTAATAGAACTGAAGATTTACATCTCTTTACTATTAAGCAAATTGAATAGGTGCAAAATCTCATCTCCACCTACAGGCTCTAAAACAGGAGAAACATTGTTATAGACTTTTGTCATAATTCTTAATCATATTCCCATGTCAAAGACTCACTTTGTTTTCATAATTCTTAACAGTATTAACAATAGCATTGTTCAAAGGCTCCATATTGTCATAGTTTTTAATAATATTTCCAACAGCATTATACAAAGACTCAATATTGTCATAATTCTTAATGATATTCCCAATAACATTGTTTATAAGCTCAATATTTTCCATCACTTTTGTTGTTCCTTTAGGGGGGGGGAGTAAAATTTAACATATAATTGGTAATTTACTCTCATTTTTGGATTAACCTTCCATTTACTTCATGGACTCCAGTACAATTCATTGGTTTCATCATCTTTCGTCTCATTGAAAATCTATAAGTTATATTAATTTTATTTCCACTTGAGAAAGGGTGTATGTACTGAAATATGATATTATGGTTGAAATATGTTCTTTTTCAGACTGTTAAACAAAAATAACATGATTTTCTTTTGTGTGATGTATAGATTTAAGCTCTTCTTTAAATTCTTCTCACTGAACAATCAGTCTAAGTACAGAAAGCTTGCCTTTCTTAAATCAGAAAGCTTAATTTAAATTCTTCTCACTGAACAATCAGTGTAAGTACAGAAAGCTTGCCTTTCTTAAATCAGAAAGCTTAATTTAAATTCTTCTCACTGAACAATCAGTGTAAGTACAGAAAGCTTGCCTTTCTTAAATCAGAAAGCTTAATATACTATTTATCATGCCACATAAAGAAATTATTATTTTTCATCTTAACTTTCCCATTAATGAAAACAACACTTAAAACACCATTTTCCTGAGTAGTTTCTTTAACATAATTATAATAAAACGAATAGTGTACAATCCTCTCTGCTCTCAGAAACTTCTAAGTCACAAAGAATTTTCTAAAATACTGTGCTTCTCATTATTAAAGTCTCGCATAACAATATTCTTATTCTTTTTAGAAGATGAACTGAACTGCCTAAATATATATCTATCATTATCAATGGCTCATCTTTAGCAGTAATATATACTGTAAAGAAATCACATTTTGTCCTTTATTTACTGCTTTGAAATTATTCTTTTGACAACATTCTGAGCTTCAGCATTCCATAAGTAAATGGATTTATATTTACATTCTATGCCTTATCAGAGTTAAAGCTTTCAGTGAACCTTACAAGTTAATTGTTCACAGATCTTCTTAATCCACATGAATTAAACAAATATCGGCAAATCTCTATTTATAATATCTTATATTTCAGGTAATTACTGTTGTATTCCTGGAGGTTCATCATATAATTGTGAACTGTGTTTTAATATTTTATTTTAGAAACTTTGTACTGTTTGCTAAAAGGAATTTTGGCATGATGTGTGATGTATAGAAATTTCTAGAATGTCTAGTTCTGGCATGATGTATCAAACTTTCTTGAGTTTCTATTGACTAGTTAATCAGTCAGTTCAGTTCTGTACATTTGTTTGACTTTGTGCCATAAATATGAGAGGACATGTAACAAGTGACTGTTTACTATTATTTGTGACTTAGGCCTATCTCTCAGTATGGTGTACAACTTCTAGTTGAAGAAATAAAACGTTTTCCTCTTTGTTAAGTGAATTGGACTTTGTAGTATTTTACCAAATAATCCAAAAGAACCTGCCCAAAGATAGAAAATGTTCCTACAGGCTTTTGTTAATGGCAACCAGTGGCTTCCAGGAACATTGGGTATTGTAAATAAAACTGTTCAGCTAATGTGTATCATAACTTTTCTAGCCTTAGTTTTTCTGTAGCATATTTCAATAAGCCTCTTACTTTTCCCCTCTCCTATATTTCCTTAAACTTCTTGCTTAATCTACTTTATTTCCTTCTCAACTTTAGCAAAGTTAACCAAAAAAAAGTTTAAATCTTTCTTCAAATAAGCATGTTCTGTACCTTCTCATATGAATGCTTAATTCACTTTGGTTTCAAAAATTATTCATCTTTTCAAGTTAAAACATAGTACATTATATATAAAGGAGATTTATGCAAATGTTACTGTAAGAACTAAATTTTTTCAACATTTAAATTACTTTGTACATGTTAACTGTCTTAGGTGTATCTTGGTGACTCGGAGCAAATACTTTGAGGTCATGTTGAAAGGGGATTGGAGTGAAAGTACAAATGACATCATCACGCTAAAAGGGTAAGACTGTTTTTATGACGGATTAAGAGCACTGCTGTCCAGGCTTCAGTTGCCTGTTGGTTGATGTATACCTAGTACTGTTGTTAGCTTAAGAAATTTCTTAAACATGTAAACAACTACTGCAAGTGTAAGCATAGTGAAGTTTGATGTATAAACACGTATTGTGTGTAAGTATAATTTTGCTTTTTACCTTCAGTAAACCCAGTTTTACTGTTTCATATATAGTAAACCAAAAACCACATGGAACTAAATCTGTCCACTTTGTTTTGATTGTAAGATTTATACCACGTTTTTTAAGTGGCTGAAATAATTATATTCATTATGTACTGTTCATTTATTAACAAGAGTACAGAAAAGTATCAGTATTATGTGTCTTTTAAGATTTATCATTGAAACTTACATCTGCTGATATTTTCACTGACATTAATGTATAATGTAATATATGAATTTTTTAATGCTGGTTGATTTTCTAATGTTTTAAAAAGATAGTGAAATGTTATCTGTCACAGGTACATTTTAGAATGAATAATAAAATTAATAAGATCCTTATCATTCAAATTTTATATTAACTTTTTTTATTAATTACAGACTAAACATTTAACATATTTTATTATTTGATGCTTTTAAAAATTTACTGACCTTATAACTCCAGAAAACATTTTTTGTTTTGACCTTACACTTCATTCTATAGCTTCTCCAAAGGTGCATACAGATAATATATATAGGTTAATATTAATTACCCTGAGGATGATGTAATCTTGTCAAAAATAGGTTAATATTACCCTGAGGATGACGTAATCTTGTCAAAACATCGTAATTTATAATAAAGTTTTCTTCATTACCCAGTCAAGCCATCTCCAGACTTTTATTTTTTAAAAAGTGGATTCCTCCTCATCAAATTTAAATAGGGTAATATAAAACTACAAAAAATGTTCCCTGAAGTTATAAGGTCACTCTTTTTTGCTTTAATTGTATTACACTCTAATCAGCAAAGCATCAATGAAATGGTTGATATCTCTTCAAACTTTTGGGCTGACTTGTGTTCCAAAACAATTCAATACTTTTTATGCTTTTGGCTAAGCTGTGTGTACGGGAGTTGTTTTAAATGATATTAACATGTTTTAACACACTGCATGAATTAATCTTATAATTCTGTCCTTCATAATGATAGTTAATCATAAAATAAGCAAATTGGAGTACAAATAAAGATAATTAAAACGAAACGTTTAATCTTAAAAGCTCTTAATACTATTGGCAAATGGGTTTGCCTGCTTCAGAAGCAAAAGAAACATAGAACCACCTGTCAAAGTTGTTAGAGCATTTAAGGTTCAACCTTGTTTTTATCCTTCTAATTGGCATTTGAATTACAAATAGTTTTTTTAAGGTTTAAAATGTTGAGCAATATAGAGAAATATATTCTTTGCAGAATGTTACTCAAAAATAAAGTACTTGTCACATTTTAATACCTTTTGTAGGGTATTTGTTGCATATTTATACGATTCTTATAATTTTTTCAACATAAATGGAACGTTGAGTTTATAAAAACTTATAATAAAAACATACGCAACCAGTTGTTTATTTTTAATTTGCAAAAACATAAAAAAGAAAGTTATTTCTAAGACTTAAAAGCTGTTTTATCCACACTGATTTAAGTGAGTAGAATTGAATTCACATACTTGTACAAAAGATGTCACATTCATGATGATGTCAGAAAACCATGTAAATGCTCTTGGTAAAGCTGAAAATACTGGTTCTTTATGTTTAAATAATTTATTGCTTCCTATATATATACACACATACACAGTGCTAGATCTACATGATAGACTTGAAACGTTATTGTTATAACCGCGCACCGTATTAATCATATTTTCTGCATCCACGATTTGAGCAGACCTTGTAAAACCATTAGCACTGAAGGTGCTGGGGAAGCTGAAGATATTATTCAATCCACTTGCTGTAGTTTCCATTAATACTTTTTTTTTTACCAGTTTATATATAATAATTTTCAATCTAATGGCAGTTTATTTTAACATTAGTAATTAATTAGAACTGAACTTACATATTTTGTTATAATTCTAGTCTTCTGTAGTTGTAAAAGTAATTTAAATTTTAATGCACTATTGAGCTTGCTTGTGTTCAGAGTTTTGTCACCATTGTTGGTTGATAATCACAAATTGGTTAGCCTAAACAGAGGTAGAGTTATGAATGTAGTGAATGAGAACTTACACTAAATATATTTTTGTAATCAAGCTCAGTTAATTGTTTGTAATTTACAAAAGTGTATGAAAAGCATGCATGTGAATGAAGAGAATCAGGAAAGTTTCATGTGCATTAAAAAATAACTTAATTAGAAAACAAATGAATTACATGTTTTATTGGCACTCATGACATTGTTAACTCATCAATTATTTATGTAATTTTGATCTGTCACTACATTTAATGCATTGTATATAAAAATTGTTTGACACTGGAAGGAAGATTATTTCTCACAATTTTAATATTCAATGTTTATTGATTAATTCAAATGTATAAATAGTGAAATTGCAAACCAAGTTTTTCTTTTAAACTAATATTCCAGTTCTCGACTTGATATTTTCATATTGCTTTTCAATGATATTATGAACAAATAGGTTATTTTAGTTTTGTGGTATAGCTAATCTTGAAAAGTTAAAATGGTAAAGAGCTTTGCATATGCATATTGTGATTTTTCGTCATATGATAAATTTTGGTTAAATTTATTGAAATGTGACCTTCCAAGTGCATTGCAGGGGTAGCCGTATGGCATTTTATTTGAAAGAATACGTCATGATGTTATGAAAGTAATGTGTTGTTTTGACAGGTTATGAAAACTGAAAATTTAGGTCACTACTTAATGATTTATAACTTTTTCTGTTATTATTTCCTTCCTTTCTTTCACTTTCTCTATCTGTGTTTGCATCAGTGAGGCACATTTGTAATGTTTTTGGTGTAAATGGAGCTACCAAAGTCAAAAGTTCATGACAACAGGGAAATATTATTGGGGGGAGAAAATTTTTTTGGCTTACACATTATTCAGCAGCTATATTGTAGAACATATTTAATAAATTTTTAAACATATTTTTAAAACCATCTTCTTTTGATGAGGAACAAATAAAAATCCATTTTTGGGGTCATTATCATATGTTCACAATCTGTTTTAGATATTACAGCTCATAATGGGCTACTTGTATGAAAAACTTATTTTGAATATTCAGTAATATTATGATACTTTCAGTTACTAGAACACAACTTCTAGAAGTGCTTTGTATGTTTTAGATATTACAGCTCATAATGGGTTACTTGTATGAAAAACTTATTTTGAATATTCAGTAATATTATGATACTTTGAGTTACTAGAACACAACTTCTAGAAGTGCTTTGTATGTTTTAGATATTACAGCTCATAATGGGCTACTTGTATGAAAAACTTATTTTGAATATTCTGTAATATTATGATACTTTCAGTTACTAGAACACAACTTCTAGAAGTGCTTTGTATGTTTTAGTTTGCACTGATAACAGCTGATAACATTTTTATTCAAATGTTTATTATTTTTAACAGTAGAGGTAAAGTATATTGTTATAAATCTTGCCATTATTTATTTGTTTATCTAGCGTAGACATGTTGAAAACAAAAAATGTATATATGTTAACTAACGTACAACAAATGTAACCAGATCTGTACTTGTAAATAAATGTTTTATATTCATTATTTATATAAAGGTGGTTTAATATATTGTAGAGTTAACGTCTTGAGTTAAGACATTCTATTTTTCTTTTTAAATGAGATTTGTACTTTGTGTTTTCTAAAGCTAGAGCCAAAATTTTGTATGGTACACTGTTATTATTGGGGGGGGGCACCCCTAATGTCTTCTATTGGTATACATATAGTTTGAAATAACACATCTCTTTCATCTTTCATAAAAAGGAACGGAGAATTAGAACACTAGAATAAAAGAGTTGATTACATATATGTGATAGGAAGACATTAAAATATGCTGGAAATGTTTACCAGCATGCTGAGAACATAACTTTTCTATATTTATTGTGTTTCAGGTAAAAGAGAATTAGAATACTAGAATAAAAGAGTTGATTACATATATGTGATAGGAAGATATTTAAATATGTTGGAAATGTTTGTGAGCATGCTGAGAACATAACTTTTCTATATTTATTGTGTTTCAGGTAAAAGAGAATTAGAATACTAGAATAAAAGAGTTGATTACATATATGTGATAGGAAGATATTTAAATATGCTGGAAATGTTTACCAGCATGCTGAGAACACACAACTTTTATATATTTATTGTGTTTCAGGTATAGCTATTCAGCAGTCCATTTTGTTCTGTGTCACATATACAGTGGAGCTATCAATTTGCCAAAGGATGTCAACATTGCTGAGTTAGCCCAACTCTCTGATATGTTAGCCCTGGATAGCTTGAAGGAGGTGGTGGTTTTCAATTTGAAAATGAATTATTGTCACTTTTTTCACAAGGTTTGTATACTTATGTATTTCATGTCAGGTTATTTTTGACTTCTATCTTTGGCATTGCCCATTTTTCTATAGCTACGCCATTTAACGGGTGAGTTAATTATGGACAAGAAACACTTTTTAGTAAATATGATCAGGATTGAAGACCTTTTAAAGTAAATCGAGTTTCAAAAAAAACAAACTTAACTTTAAAATATGAAAAGCTTTTCCTTGTTGAGTTGCTCTCATGTTGTCGACAAATGTGTCTAAAGTTCTGAATGCCCATGATACAATGTATCGTATGTGTCAACTTATCCATAGTTGTTCTATTCTCTCCCACCTTCCACGTGACTTATTGTGCTTGCTTTAGGAGAATATAAATACATAACCTATGCTGTCCCTCCATAATCCAGGTGTTCTTGTTAATAGTCAAGCTGCTCACTTTTCCATAATGAAGTCAGCATTAATTCCCATGTAAATACTTTCAACAATATTGGAACTTCTACAACTTGTTTTATAGGTCTTACTCATATAGCCTGCCCAAGCATGCAGGGTAATCCCATGACTGCATTGTCAGCACTTATTGATCAACATACTTGGACCATTAATAAATACCAGTTTGTTTGTTGCTGTTCCTGGTGGGTTGCATGATCATGTGGATGCTCAATTTAAAAAACAACCACCGTTTTCTCATGATTTTGAACATGATTTTCTCAGGCCTTTTTTGCCTTCAGTGGCTGCAGAGCATGATTTGCCTACCAGCTGTAACCCTGAAGAAGCTCTCACTGGTCTAATTTCTCTTTCCTCTCAGGTATGTTCGATCTCAAATCATGAACCAGTTTCTGTTACACCTGATGGTGCTTGTGTCATCTAGACAATTCAGTACTTCAACCCTTATTTCTTCCACCTTCTCCTGATATTCAAGTTGTTGATGATGCTTTTAGAAACTAGCAAAATGTTTTACTACTCATATTTTCAAGTTCATGACCCTTAGGTTAGTTATTTTGTGTGTGTGTGGGGGGGGGGGTCTTCCATGTGGTCTTTGACCACTTATTACTTTTCTGTCTTGATACTTTCTTCTTCTGCACAGTTATTAGTTATTGTCATTCTTCCGATTCTTTTAGTCAGGATCACATATCCACTTTAATTGTGTTTAATCCAGCAAGAGTTTATTAGGGTTTTGGCTTCCAGTTTTCCTTCTGGTAGCTTCCTTCTTCCAAATGTTCATCCTTCTGCATTACCTTCATTGTCTGCATCTTAGTTGATACCCACAACATAGACTTGTAAAACCTTCTTACCATTTATTTTCAGTGACCTAATGTCAAAGTCTGCAAGGTGGGTCTCTTTGATCCGCTCATTGATTCTTTTTATTCTGGATGAGTCCTCTGTCTGTACTTTTTATTGGAGTTCACTTGTTCTTCTTCAATAGATCCTTCACTTCAATCTGTACTTTCACTTATGCTGTCATTCTTGTTTTTGTTCTTCCTTCTGATCCTGTTTGCTTGCAACTTTTGGATGATGAAGTTTGAGATTTCCTTTCATAAGGAGCAGTAGAAATTGTGCATCCTTGTGTTTACTTCTATTTCATAGTAGGTCTGAAGAAAACAGGCTATTGGGGGGCAGGTCTCAATTCAATATTTACCTGGATACACTTCATTTACAAAAATAAAAAAAAAGAGAGGAAGTTAT